GGCCTTTACTCTTGTGGCCTCCTTTAAAATTCTGGAAAATCATCGTCTGGCTGTGGTGCTTTATCTACTTTTAACCTTTTTAAGGAATTAATATCTACATGATTTTGGGTCAATTCCAGGATTTCCTGTAGAATGCTCGGGTTCATGAATATTGCTATTATCTTCTGTTGATGTGAGAGAAAAAACCTATCAAAATGTACAAGAAATGTTAACTGTTGATTCGAGCACAACACCGAACAGCCTGTGGAATTACATGCAGTGAGAACCATCATAGTTGCAAATGAGAGAGTTTCGTGAATTAGCCAGATTATGTCTGTAAGAGAAGTAATTTCTTTATCAAGTAGATTAAACAATTACATAGTGGTTACACACGTGACTCAAAAAAAAATTTTACTTCCACAGAACGTAGTAAATATTCTTTACTTAAATAGCACTGTGATCATGATAGTTCATTCAGAAGGTTTCAAAGTTCACTCGGTGAACTCGGTATATATATTATCATTCCAGTGATGACTTGAAGCATAAAAATATCCTATGCTTCAACCATTGTATACTTATGGAAAATGAGCTTATAAAAAAATCAATGTGGCTTACTCACAGGAAGTTATATTGATGTAAGATCTCCCAAGTGATGCAGCTGGTACATAAAATATTCACTAAAAAATGTGCTGTGTAAGCCACCAAATTTAATAACAAGTTGACAAATAATGATTTCTAATTGATTTGTTTTTGGAATAACTTATTACATGTTTCAGTAGACCAGTGTTTTGTTGAAACACATAGTATGTTCCCTGAAAGATAACTCACTTCATTATGCGTATAAATCGTAGTTGGCCAACTTATCATTATATTAACATAATTTACTTTCTTACTCAAGCACCAAATGTGATGTAATACGGAATAATGAAATTGTTTGATAGCTGACTCCGTTAGTAGTCAAGACAATTCTGTGTATTGTTTCTGATATAATCCTGAAATAAATCTGTAGTCAAGACAATGTTGTGTATTGTTTCTGATACAATCCTGAAATAAATCTGTAGTCAAGACAATGTTGTGTAATGTTTCTGATACAATCCTGAAATAAACAAAAAAAACAGCTATTGGTTCCATCGTAGAAGACACGTAAAACAAAACAAAAAAATGCTTCCCGACATTTCTCAGGTTAGAATATTTATTATTGGTGAGCCGCAAGTTGAAAGCTAACCAACGATAAATATTTTCAATATGAGAAATATCTGAAAATCCTTTTAATTAGTATTTTAATTCCACTTTACGAGTCATACCGAGACAAGTAAAACGTTAAACGACGATTACATTACTTTATCACATGTTTTTATAGTTTGTTTGATATTACTGTTAATATAATGTTCTTCTCCTATACGTCTTCACAATTACTGAATTCATTAGGTTTATAAAATGTTCATTAACTACCAAAGTATTCGACTTTTTATTTTCTTGTAAATTTAATTCAAATTTTGGCCTAGTGTCGGAATTTTTAACTGTGATTTGAAGCAGGCCTATGGATGCAAGCGGAAAGTTTCCAGGTTACAACTTTCCGTAACGTGGTTAGGGTTACGGTGTTCCACTACCCTGCCTTTACTTCCAGGTTACAACTTTTGTAAAGTGGTTAGGGTTACGGTGTTCTACTACCCTGCCTTTGTTTCCAGGTTACAACTTTCCGTAACGTGGTTAGGGTTACGGCGTTCCACTACCCTGCCTTTGTTTCCAGGTTACAGCTTTTTGTAAAGTGGTTAGGGTTACGGTGTTCCACTACCCTGCCTTTGTTTCCAGGTTACAGCTTTTTGTAAAGTGGTTAGGGTTACGGTGTTCCACTACCCTGCCTTTGTTTCTACATATAACTTTTCACATATTTAAAGAAAAAAAAATTCCATTGAATGTTAAGCCAAGGAGACAGTTCGAAAATGTAACTTCTTATTTCGAAAACAAGCTTTTATTTGGAAGTTGTTACTTATGGCAACAACTATTTTTTATAACCTGACGTTTGTTTTTCGTTGTTGAAAAATTCTGAGATTTAAGTTTGGAACTTACTAGTCTTGCATTGATTTTTTTAATGTGACAATGTTTCAGTCTCTATGCTTGGGCCTTCCGGTTATGCTGGGTTAGTAACTTGGAATTTTCGTCCTTATAGTGCTTACACTAGTTAAAATACCAATGAAATAAGTGTTCAAATATTTTAATATAGCTTTCATTTTGTGTTTTAAGTGCTGCCATCTGTTGTTGTATAACAAAAATTAGTGAGAGAGAAAGCGATATTAGCAGCTATTTATCATGTTCATATATCAAATAAAAGAAGAAGCTATCTATGGTAGTAAAGTCTATTTTACTGATATCCTAGCGCCTACTGTAAACTCTTGAAGTACTCTTTTCTGGTCGAAACATTGGGTTTGACCGTCGCTCTTGTAACGCACTGATGGTCCAAATGTGTGGAGCGTTATTATTATTATTTTTTTTTTCGGGTTATGGAACGTGAGACACGGAGCTGCAGATCCATAGTCCAGCACGCTCGGTCTAACGAGATAACTGTTTGTGTCAGGTGTCTATGGTTTTACACTTTGATTTGCAGATGTTTGGTTTGGCCTTGAATATATAGTGGAATAAAACTTATACCAATTTTATACACTAAAACAACTCTCAAGCACGTGGTATGCTTTGTGAAGATCTGCTTACCCCTAGGAGAACCCTTTCCAATTCCATAGGCGGAGAGGTCACTGACCTGCGTCTGGCCTTGTAGGACAGTTGTAGAGGGTTTCCGTCAAGGTATATAGTTCCGCGAGCGCTGGAACAAACAGGCTTGACAACGCGTTTTTTATATTATTATTCGTCTTTTCAGTTCTCCTCTGTTTAAACTAAGCCCGAAGATGTATTTTTAATACCTATCTCTTTTGGTAACATGATAGTGTACGTGATTTCTCGTTTACTGTGTTTTTCTTTATAAATACAAAATAATTCAGGTTACAGTTTATTGGCAACTGCTCCATTTTCTTTGCACTTCATTTTAATCATTTCAAAAATTAAATACAATAACCCTAAAGCTAGTAAATGAACATGCTTTATGTTCTTGTGTATTGTATTCTTCTAAAAAGCCTTCCAAGTTGAAATTGGTGCCAAAATATTCACAACTTGTTCTATCATTTTCAGGTGTTTTTTTCAAATCATAAGCATTACTGAATAGTGTAACCGTTTATTTGATTTGGTCGAATATAGGGTATAGTTGTCCAAATTTTTAACTTTGCACTGGATGGTAGTGTATTCAAAAAGCTCCCTGGTAGTTCAGTAGTAAGTCTGAGGGTTTATAACGCTAAAAATCTGGGTTTGATCTGCGGCGGACAGAGCACATTGTTTGCACAACAAATAAAAACAAACAAGCGGTATTCTAAAAGAAAAAAAAAGGTTACAACTTTCCGTAACGTGGTTAGGGTTACGGCGTTCTACTACCCTGCCTTTATAGATAAAGATAGTGGAATGCTGTAATCCTAGCCACTCTACGGGCGTCTGTAGAAATTTTTCCTCGGGAAGAGGGGGGAGGGCAAAGTCAAGAGAAGATGGACCCGCCTTCAAAGTTTTGCCATTACAACCAAGAGAATAGGCAAGCTCCCACATTCAGATTTAATGGATTTATGTTTGTAAAGTTAGTGTAAGCCATACTGCTAACAGTCAGATTTGATGGATTTAATGTTTGTAAAGTTTGTAAAGCTGACAGTCAGATTTGATGGATTTAATGTTTGTAAGGTTAGTGTGAGTCATACTACGGACAGTCAGATTTGATGGATTTAATGTTTGTAAAGTTAGTGTAAGCCATACTGCAGACAGTTAGATTTGATGGATTTAATGTTTGTAAGGTTAGTGTAAGTCATACTGCTGACAGTCAGATTTGATGGATTTAATAAGTATGGCTTACACTAAC